TGGGTGCATGGATACTTCTGTAGGTATCGGGGACAAGAGCCACGCCAGCCCCGAAAGTGGTGCTCGGTATTCCGACATCTCCATCCCCACCCATTGTTTCTGCTCTGTGTGACAGCTCCAATCCAGCACCCTGGCAAGGTGTGATGCCTCATAATAGCGTTTAATGTCCGGGAGGCCCACCCCTCCCCGGTCCTTGGGAAGGATCAGGATGCGGTACGCCACCCTAGGACGTTGCCGCGCCAAAACAAAGGACACGAACATGCGTCTCAATTGAGAGAAAAACGCAGGTGGTAGGTGGATCGGAACTGCCTGGAGGACGTACAAAATCCGGGGAAGCACAGTCATTTTTAAGGATGCACAACGACCAAACCAGGTCAGTGTCAGCTCTTGCCAATTAGAGAGGTCTTGTTTAATCGTATGAAGCAACGGCACATAGTTCTCCGCATAAAGCTGACCCGGGTCCGCACTTATGCGTACCCCCAGGTGGTTTAAACATGTCCAGCGAAATTGGAATGAGGCTCTCACCTTGACCATCTCTGCAGGGGGTATAGTTATGTTGAGAGCCTCCGATTTGGCTTGATTGACCAAGAAATTGGAGATATCTCCATATGTATCAAAAGCCCTCAGGAGAGGGGGCAGTGAGGCCATTGGACGGGAGATGAAGAAGACCAGATCATCCGCATATGCTGCCAATTTATGCGTACCAGAAGACCCCCGTATTTCCTCAATAGAGTCTTCCGCCCTGATAGTGCTGAGGAGGGGTTCCAACGTAAGGGCAAATATAATCGGAGGCAAAGGGCATCCTTGGCGGGTGCCGTTCGAGATGGGGAAATACCCGGAGCGAGTTTCATTGACTCTGACCGCCGCTGATGGGGACGAGTACAGAGCCATGATCCACGCTCGCATGTGCGTCCCCAACCCGATGTGACTCAAGGTGGCCTCGAGGAATTGCCAGTCCACTCGATCGAACGCCTTTTCGGCGTCAATCGAGAGGAGCATGAGGGGGCTAGGACGACGCCGCGCTGCCTGGATGACATTCAGAACCCTAACGGTATTGTCCCGCGCCTCCCGTGCCGGCACGAAACCCACCTGGTCAAAGTGGACAAGGTCCGGCACGAAGGGCAAGAGCCTATTTGCTAACATCTTGGCATATAATTTAAGATCCGTGTTCAGCAGCGCTATCGGGCGGTAACTACCACAGAGAGAGGGATCCTTGCCCGGTTTCGGGATCACCGTGATGTGTGCACGTAATGCGTCTGCCGGTGGCACTAATTATTTCAATGCACCACCACACCCCTTCCCGCCCCTGAATGCAGCGAGCCTGCCGGCTTGCGTTCCAGAGGCAGAACGCTCTGGAACACAGACTTGGTGGTGTGAACCGGCCCTTAGTGGTTTTTGTTTAATTAAAGGATCTTTTCAAAAGTGTGGTGTGTTTATTTACTTTTGGCTTAACCCTCTGGTGAATGAGTAGGGGTAACAACTCACTCACAAGAGGGGGGGCAGCATCAGGGTGCCCCCTTTATGAAAGGGGGCACCCAGATGCAGATCGGAACCTCTGCCCGCAGACCCCCACAACCCTGGCCCGGGGGTTGTAGGGGTCTGCAGGCGGGGGCAATTCTGGCCCTTGTCCTCATTGCTATGGGGACAAGGTGCCTTTCCGAGGGCATGTGGCCTGATATGATGCAGGGAGGGGGGCGGGCGCTCGCTTGTCCCCCTTTTTCAGCACTAGCAGGTCAGTGCTCGGATCAAGGGTCTGGTATGGGATTTTAGGGGGAACCCTACATTCAGGGCCAGCCTTAGGCCTTTAGGCACCCTGTGCAAGAAAGCTTCACAGCGCCCCTCAGTGACCACACCCCTCAGTAACCACACCCATTTTTTCTAATAAAGACTCCCATTTTTGATAAAAATTAAACTTTTATTCAAAGGTATTAAACTTGTAGGCACAATATAAGTATTCTTATTAAATAAAACAACAGAAGGCAAACAATAGGTAAACAATAAATGTCAAACTAACATAAAGTCCCTTTTTTCAAGTAGGTGCATCTAGAAAAGTAAAAATAAAAACAAAACACAAAACATAGACTACATGTTAAATTACCGAATATACGAAAAATTTATTCAGGCACATAATAATTTGTTTGAGAATGTGCGACGGCCATGTTGGCCACCGGAACGTTCTACAAATGCGTTTCACCATCTTGGAGGCGGGGAGCATGACGTTACATGGCTCCTTGCATGCGTGGCGTCAGGTGACGTCACACGCCAATATATGCACCGCCATCTTTTTTTTTTGGGAAATATTAGGGGTCTAAAGAGACCCCTGACCATTACCTTTTAAAATAGAAAAGAAATTGAGGACCCATAGTCCTCAATTTATTTTTCTGCAACCTCTGTTGGATGCATCCTCTGTAAATGAATGGAGAGCACTCAGCACAGAGGCTTCCCATTCATTCTGACACTGATGATAGTAAAATATTTACTATCACCAGTTTATAAATGGGGAAAAGCCTCTTTAGTGAGTGCTACTCACCATTCAGAAATTCATGAATGAACAGGAAGTGATGTAAATCACATCCTGTTCATTCATAACTGGGGACACATAGTACTATGTGTCCCCAGTTATTTACAAACACTGGAGTGATCAGACGATCGCTCCAGTATTTGTGCTGCACATGGAGGATCGGTAAATATCGATGATACTTACCGATCCTCCTCTCGGCTACGCACAGAGCCGCTGTAATTCTGAAACTGACAGGATGACAGTGGCGCCGCTCTACTCACTGCTCGGCCGTCCTGAAAGCTGCGGCTTCTCTCCTCCTCACTGCTCGGCCATCTGACATGACAGCGCTCCCGTATGGGGGGGCGCAGGAGGGAGCGCTATTATGTCGGATGGCCGAGCGGTGAGGAGGAGAGAAGCTGCAGGCTGTAGCCGTCCTGGGGACGAACTTGTTGACACGGCGCCCTGTGCGGCTGCACAGCCCGAACACCCCATTCTTGTAGATAGGGTTCCCTCCTAACATTCCTGCAAGACCTAAAGGGTACGTTCACACCATATTTAGTGCGTCCGCAGGCCGTGCGGGGGATCGCATTGCGGCTGGAGGGAGTGGCTACGGTGCATTCACTTCAATTGTAGGCAACGCCCCCCCAGCCCCACAAAATAGTGAGCTGGCCGCAATGTGATGCAGTGCATTCCGGCCGGAATCGGGCCGGAATGCACTGCATATGGTGTGAATGTACCCAAAGGGTCTGGTATGAATTGGGGGGGAAACCCATGCTTTTTTTTTAATATTGCTTCTGCAGACTGTAATAAAAATTTCATTTTTTTTCCTCTCACTTTGCTGCAACAAAGACTCGTTGAACAATGCCTGCATCCAATCAGATTCTTCCGGTATTTTGGCAGCCAGCAGGACCGACTAGCAAGATACTGAAGCTTGGCCCAGCAGGAGATTCCTCCATCCACACAGTTCAGCGTAGATGGAGGAATCTGTTGCACTTTTTTCATCTGACCATAGAAAATCTGCAGATAATGTATATTATTATACAGGATTTATATAGCGCCAACAGTTTGCGCAGCGCTTTACAATATAAGGAAGACATTACAATCAAAACAAGATTGTACGCCCATGAGGGCGTACAATCGAAAAGGGAGGGGGAAGTGATACATGAGGAGGGAGCTGTGTGGGTATGAATTGTTTAGGTGTATGAACAGTTTTAGACCAATACCTGGAGACTCTCTCTCCCTCCACTCCAGCCGTTTAGGGTACCATAAATCATCACCTTCTATACACAGACAGCAGATAAAATCTGGAGCAGTTGCCTATGGCAACCAATCAGCTTCTCTATTCAGTTTGATCAGTCAAGCTTTCAAAATGTAAGAGAGAGGCCGATTGGTTGCCATGCACAGCTGCTCCAGATTCTGTCTGCTCCAGTTTTGATACATTCCGTTTACTGTATAGAAGGGAGGACACTGAGGAACATTCCAATGCTGCCGCTGCGAAGTAGACACGCATCAGTGACCGGAGAAGCAGGCAGCCGGTGTTCTATCCATAGTCCAAACTTATCGAGTTGTGGGACCGCATGACTTCCGGTTTCCTTAGAAGTACGAGGTTTGGGCAAAAAATTTGTTGTGCAGGAGCGGCATCCGCGGCATTGCCCTATTCACATACAGCAAAGCAATAAAGTAATAAAATGAAGCCGGATCACAGTAATCAAGCACGTTATTTATCTCCGGTGCCCCACTCAATATGGCCGCCGCTTGAGAGGGGCAAGTCAGATTAATAACGTGCTTGATTACTGTGATCCAAGTTAATTTTATTACTTTATTGCTGTGGTGCATGTGTATAGAGCAATGCCGCTTGTGCAGAAGAAGTTTTGTGTGCAAACCTCGTAAGGAAACCGGAAGTCATGCGGTCCCAGAGCTCGATAAGTTCGAACTTTCGATCGATCACTGGTTTGGTGGTTCGGGTGAGTATAACTTTTTTTTTAGCTCCTGTTAACCCTTGCAGTATTGGGGTAGCCCCACTGTAAGGGTTAAGAACTTCAGGCCTAAAATGTGGAATATAACATGGGTGCAAAAAATGAAAAAAGGGCCTTAGTCATGAAGGGGTTAAGTTCCTTGTCACCATAACCTGTATTAGCAGAGTACAAAGTATGACCGCGGGATGCAAAGAACATTTTACAACTTTGTAGGTTGGAAATGTAAAAAAAAAAGTGTAAATGATTTTATTCTAATTGTAACTTTTTGTTTCCATGTTTCATAATCATACTGTTAATAAGAGTTGGATTTGTGTGCACAGCTCAGTCTGGTATGAGCAGAGCTCTATCCACATCTCATGTCTTGTCTATAACCCAGCACACCTCTTCTTTCCAGCTCACACCCACCACCCCCAGACAAGCCTGTATGATGATACCAGTGGAAGCTGATCCACCCCAGCTCACAATGGGTGCAGCTTTGGGATTTTTTTTTTCTCTCTGTCCTCCCTCTGGAGTGAGATTTAGTATTTGGTATTCCATACAGCTAGTAAGATCCTGCCACCCACGCCCCGGCCGCCTCCCACGCCAGGATCTGCGTCACGGGTCCTGTGTGGGAGGCAGACAGACCGAGCTGTGCTGTGTAGCAAGAACGGAATATCCCATTTTGTCCCCAAACACGGGGGGGTGGACGTGGTGTCAATACACATCCTCCTGCGAGTTGAATGCGAAGCCTTGAAGAAGTCCCCCCCCTTCCCTCCCTCCTTTTATGATTTTCACTGGAGTCCTAAGAGCAGGGCTTGCTGTGCTACAAAGTATCTGCAAAGTATCCTGAGCTGAGCTAGGAAGGGAAGGGACAGGTACCGCCTGAATGGGGCATAGAGAGCCGGCACTGGGACACTGCTAATTCATCCACAAGTTCAGGGCTGCTCTTCTGAAAGTAAGTCAGATGTCTGTGGGGGGCAATGCTGAGGTGGGGGTGACAGTGACTTTTCTCACCTGAGTGTAGAAGTGGCAGCACACAATGCTGTAGTCACGTGATTGATGAGCCTGTACAATATGATTTCTGGTAGAAAAGTCAGCTCAGGTTGTGTTTGTTGTCATTCTGCAACTTTACTAATATTTGCATGTCCAACTTTATTGTTGTGTACCATTCATAAAAAAAAACACCCTTCAACATCAAAAACATTTGTTGCTGTTTAGCAAATGCATGCAGACTTATTTATCGCAGTACCAGGGGGAGAGTTTAGGCTTGTTGGGAAGACGCAGCCCATTGTGGGGGAAATGCAAGCTGAATTAAAGCTCCGGGATCTATATTTTCTACTTGGATTCTGGTGTGATTTGTATTTCTTCTGTCCATTAATCCAGTATGAAACTTTCCCGTTAGGCAGGAGTTTACTGTTATTAAAACCAGTCACTGCTACTCTCTCTCCTTGTGCAGGGTTACTGGTCTTGTCTCCGCCCCCTCCTGTAGTTTTATGCAGGCAGCCTGTAGTGGGTGTGGTCTGCTGGGTCCCTCCCACAGCTCTGCTCTCCTATGAAAGTTTTTTTTCTGTTAGAGAAGTCAGCTCAGATTCTGTTTGTTTTCATTTTGTTGCTTCAATGTCCAACTTAAAAGGAGAATTATGAGGCGACCTATGACAATGAAACTGTCACAGGTCGGCTCAGTAGATCGGGAAGTTAGCGAACACATACCGTCGCTCGCTCACTTGTCGATCCTGTCCCTGCAGAAAGCCGTGACTGTCACTCACGGCTCCTTGCAGGGATTCCCCCCCTCCCCTGTCCGATCCTCCAGAGCTGACTGGTGGAACGGACGGGGGAGGGGGCGGGCACAGCTGGCTCTGCCTCTGGATAGGCAGAGCCAGCTGTCAATCCCGCAGCTGGGTGGATCTCAACAGTAATGTCGGGATCCGTTCCGGCTGCGGCGTCTCAGTATACCGCAAGGTGTAACCCGCGGTATACTGAGCTTAGGGTGACAGGAGGATGCTAGTTTGTGTTCTCCCGTGACCCTTTGGAGAACTATGGGGAAAAGCCCTAAACCCATAGTTCTCCTTTTAATTGTTGGCTTGGTTTGTTTTGTACTAAAACTATTCAGAAATAAAAGACCTTTCAAAGTCAAAAACATTGTTGCACTTCTGCACATGCATGCAGACCTGTACATAGCGGTGCTTGGAGGGGGAAGTTTAGAATTGTTGAGAAGACAGTCCCCTGAGTCAGTACGTTGTGGGGGAAATGACAGCTCTGGGGTCTATATTTTCTACTTGGATCTTGGTGTGCTCTGTTTATTTCTTCCAGATCTGCGCAGTAATCCAGTGTGAAACTTTACCCCTGTGCAGGAGCTTCCTGTAATGAAGACTGGTCACTGCTGCTCTCTTCTTGTGCAGGATGACTGGTTGTGTATCCGCCCCCTCCTCTGGTTATTTGTGGGCGGGGCCTGCTCAGTCCCTCCCAGAAATAACTAGAGGTTGCACAGGTTATGTACAGCACAGTGATTATGTCACTTTTTTAGGGCTGCGGAAATTAGCGATTAATCCCTCGATTAATCGTTAATTTTTTTGATCGATCAAAATTATTTTGATCGATCAAAGTTCTTTTGATCCGTACTCACCTCTCCGCCGGCTTCCGGGTCTTCTGTCGGAGATCCGGTGACGTCACGGACATCGACGTCACCGGACTCCTCCCCCTTCCCTTCGTTACCCGATGGAGCCGCTTGGGTCGGTGAGTACACATCCCAACTCTCCCGGGCGCCCGGGAGAGAAACACTTTTTACCGGAAAGTATTAATCGAAATTAATCGATTAAAAAAAATTTCGATTAATCGAACAGGAAAATTGTAATCATTACCAGCCCTACACTTTTTATATGGTAACTTCTGGGTTTGGAGAGAGGTTTGGTGCACACAACATGCATTTATATCCTTTGTGGCTGTTCAGCAATATATTTAAATAAAAGTTATTGTGCCCTGAGTTTAGCTTTTAAAGTTTTGTTCACACCATCTCCAGACCAGAATGTCTTTTTGTCTGATCCACAACCGCATACCCATTCATTCCTCTGGTAAAAAGTGAGACTAGTTTACTTTTTTTTTCCTATCCGAAAACCCGAACAGTGATGGCAGCTGATTGGCTGCTGTCATTGTTTGCCTGAAAATGTTCCGATCATTTCCTTTGATTTTCTGATCAAAAGATGTGTATTGAACAGTGCCGGCAGGGCCACCCACTGAAATGTCACTAGGGTTGCACAGATACCAAGTACAGTACTCGGTACAGGTACAAGTACCTGTACCGATACTTTTGAGCTCCAAGACTACACTAGAGAAAAATTCTAAAATTAGGAGGCAGCTGTCATTTGTAAGGAGCACACGGAGCTCCTGGGATTTGTGCATCTCTGTTTTAATGTACGATTTTGTTTTTATAAATATAAATAAAGGGATGCACAGATACCAGTGTTGCGAGTACTGGTACTTGCCGAGTACTTACAAGTACGAGTACTGATACATTTTTGTTTATTGTCATGTGACAGTTTTTCTAAAACAATACAGACTAATGATTTCAGGACAGTGGTGGAATGCCAGAGCCAGGTCCCAGCTGCAACCACTGCAACCCAGGTAGTTCTCATGAAAATGCCAAGTATCTGCACTGGTACTCGAAAAGTATCTGTGCAACCCTAAATTTCACCCACTGAAATTTGTACAGTGTATGGTCAGCTTTACATTGTCCTTCCTGGCTCAGTATTGGTATCCATATCTGAAATCCAAAGGGCCTCTGGGGATGCTAAAAATCACTAAAGTAGTCTGTGCTACATACAGTGACAGCCGCCCGTGACCTTCCTGCTGTGGCTCCATCAAGTTGTTCATTCGGCACTGCTGCCATTCACAGAATGCCTTCTATTTTTTCAAAGGCTTTCTTTGATTGGACAAGGTGAGGAATGTGACAACATCTGCCCCTCCTGTACCTTGTCTAGTACAGAAGTACCTGAAAAAAAAGGGTGAGAATTTATCAAAACTGGAGCAGAAAAAATCTGGAGCAGATTTGCACAACAACCAATCAGCTTCTCTGTCTCATTTTCAAATCTTACCTGAGCAAACTGAAGAGAGAAGCTGATTGGTTGCCATAGGCAACTGCTCCAGATTCTGCCTGCTCCAGGTTTGATACATTCCCCCAGAGTGTTCTCTGAATAGTGGCACTGCCAAGTAAGTGACTCCTTGTGCTCGGTGTATGGAGGGGAGGCCGCAAGGGGTGCAGCAAGAAAATCACAGCTATCATTGTATGTAGCACAGGGTACTGCTAGTGATTTCCAACATCCCAAGCAGCCCTCCGGATATTTGATATTAGGGATGCACCGATACTCGTACTCGCCCAAATGCTCCGATGCTTAGCCCGATACTTCCTGTATCAGGAAGCCGGGCAGGTGGCGAGTCATTACACGCCGCCTGGCTTCCTCAATGTTATAAGACAAGTAGAGCGATCTTTGCGGACATGTTTGTAAGGGTGCAAGCAGGGGCTGTTTCTCATCCTGGCTTCACTACCTGGTGAGTGTCCGTACTGATACAAGCATGCAGCAAGTGAATGCAGAAAAGTTGGACCTCCCATCCAGCACGCTTGTCTTGATCCAGGTCATTGACTCTCTAGGTAGTGAAGGGAATCAAAATGATAGCCCTGAAGCCTGCAACTTTACAAACAAATATCTGTACTCGCAGGTTCCCATTGATTGATACTTAAAGCAAAGATCGCTCTATCCTCACTGGCTTTTTACTTCCAAGAATACAGATAGAGAAGTCACTCTAATTGATTTGTTTTTAGGCCTCATTCACATCAGTGCAGAGACCTGCACCCAGGAGGGACAGGTGCTGCATGTGCATCTCAATAAAAGGCCGCAGCTGCTCATTGTTACACGCTGACCCGAACTTGCACATTCATATAGGTACAGATGCATACCCTTGGATGCAGACAGTCACATCCAAGAATGTGCATCTGAAAGGACGTGCACACTGTACAGCAGGGCCTTAAAGTTACAGGTTCTGTTGTCTTAATCCAGGTCCATGATTCCTTAAATAATGAAGCCATAAGAACAAGCTTGTAGTCAGTGAATTGTGAAAAGTTTGAGTTTACTTCCTACTTGTTTCAGATCAGGACCTGACTATGTAGCTTTCAGGAGCGTCACTCTCCGGTGTCACCTGCAGCTTTCAGGAGTGTCACTCTCCGGTGTCCCCTGCAGCTTTCAGGAGTGCCACTCTCCGGTGTCCCCTGCAGCTTTCAGGAGTGTCACTCTCCGGTGTCCCCTGCAGCTTTCAGGAGTGTCAATCTCCGGTGTACCCTGCAGCTTTCAGGAGTGTCACTCTCCGGTGTCCCCTGCAGCTTTCAGGAGTGTCACTCTCCGGTGTCCCCTGCAGCTTTCAGGGGTGTCACTCTCCGGTGTCCCCTGCAGCTTTCAGGAGTGCCACTCTCCGGTGTCCCCTGCAGCTTTCAGGAGTGTCACTCTCCGGTGTCCCCTGCAGCTTTCAGGGGTGTCAATCTCCGGTGTCAATAATGTATCATGTCATGGGTACTTTAGCCGAAGATTTCTCAGCATCAGAGTTTGGCTTTTGGTGGCACACACAGCAGGAAAGAGTTTGACCTATCTCATTTTTCGGTATGGCCTGTTGTATGCTTTATACTTAGTTATAAGTGGTCAGTGTGTTATCTGATAACTTTTATTAGTATATTGTTTATATAGCATTTCCTTATAACTCTAAGCTGTGATGGAGAACTGCCAATAAACAGGAACCTGATATGTCCACTGGTTGTGAAAGAACGCAGTAGGACAGACACTGGTCAGCTACTTCTGTCCATCACTATACCCAAATAACATTTTTTTAATGAACAGCATTCTGTAAAAAGGAGTTTTAATAGCATTTAAGGATACTCGTACAAAGGATTCAGGAGATTATTAGAGGATATTTAAA